AGGGCTGTGGTTGGGGAGCTAGAGGGCTGAGTTTAAAACCTTTGTCTCGTGCGTGCATACAGAATATCCCTGCGAAATTTTCAGCCTTCTACGTTGCCTGGTTCGCGAAACAGTTTTTCGCCTACAAATTCCTTTGGGGGTCTCAACGGGGTTTAGGCGCGTACGAGGGAAGATCTTAAAACGGGAGGATGACACACGGGGTAGGAACATAAGAGCGTATGGGGGAAGATCTTAAAACGGGAGGATGACACACGGGGTAGGAACACATATCCGAAGTTACGTACGGGGGAAGATCTTAAAACGGGAGGATGACACATGGGGTAGGAACATATATCCGAAGTTTCAGCCCCATGGGGGAAGATCTTAAAACGGAGGATGACACACGGGGTAGGAACATATATCCGAAGTTTCAGCCCCCCCCCCCAGCTTTCCTGGTTGTCGAGTTGAAAGCCAAGAAATTCCTTTGGGGGTCTCGTGCGCGGGGTTTAGGCGCGTATGGGGGAGGATCTTAAAACGGGAGGAAAAATTCCTTCAGGGGTCTCGTGCGCGGGGTTTAGGCGCGTATGGGGGAAGATCTTAAAACGGGAGGATGACACACGGTGTCTCGTGCGCGGGGTTTAGGCGCGTATGGGGGAAGATCTTGAAACGGGAGGATGACACACGGGGTTCCCGTGCACGGGATTTAGGCGCGTATGGGGGAAGATCTTAAAACGGGAGGATGACACACGGGGTAGGAACAAATTCCTTTGGGGGTCTCGTACGCGGGGTTTAGGCGCGTATGGGGGAAGATCTTAAAACGGGAGGATGACACACGGGGTAGGAACATGTCTCGTGCACGGGGTTTAGGCGCGTATGGGGGAAGATCTTAAAACGGGAGGATGACACACGGGGTAGGAACATATGTCTCATTAGCGGGATTTAGGCGCGTATGGAGGAAGATCTTAAAACGGGAGGATGACACACGGGGTAGGAACATATATCCGATTAAGGCGCGTATGGGGGAAGATCTTAAAACGGGAGGATGATACACGGGGTAGGAACATATATCCGAAGTTAGGCGCGTATGGGGGAACATCTTAAAACGGGAGGATGACACACGGGGTAGGAACATATATCCGAAGTTTCAGGCCCCCAGCTTTCCTGGTTGCGAGTTGAAAGTGGGTGACAAAATGCACTCGCTTTGCGCACGCACACAGCCCAGCTTTCCTGGTTGTCGAGTTGAAAGTGGGTGACAAAATGCACTCGCTTTGCGAACACACACACAGCACACACACATAGACAGCCTCTCGACAATATGCGTTTTTGCTGGCTGTAGCACAGCAAAAATGCATAAAAAGTGTCATTTTCTATTGCGTACCACTAATTATTCCAAAACTCGCGAAGTTCCTTTGTATGTTGTCTTTATGAAGACAGAGCAGGCACTCGAAAGTAGCCTAATGGTAATATATGCCGTTGAAAGACTGCTGATGGCTTCTTTCGTTGGTTTGTTTAGGATCAAGCTAAAAGCGAATTTGACTCTTTGGCATGCATCAGTTTCAATTTATCATCGAAGTGAACCGTAGAGGAATTGGTTGTCCCACTGTCGGAGTGGAAACTTCGGCACTGTTTAGTACAAGAGCAGTACTACTTGCAATGCATCGTGCGCGCCAGCACTACTTTTTAACACCAGTTTAAAATTATCGTGTAAAAGCACTTGTTATAACTGTAATGCATTTCTGGAACTTATGCAACTATCTTTTGGTGGAAGACAAATTTTGTACAGTAAATGTTCATTCGATTTGATAAACCGGTGACTGGGCATTGATCCTTTTTTATAAAAGAGAAGATAAGTGCGATAGATATCCTTATGTATCCATGGCAGTACACTGTGACGTCCTCGATCCATGTTTCTCGGCGCATGGCTCTGTCTGTGTTTAAATTTGCTATCGATCCGAACGAGTGAGGTGCAAAATGTGTCGTGTCATAGATCGTTTCGTTAAATATGCCACTTATGAGTCTAACACGAGGGCCGTTTTCTGCGACAGCGAAATTCCTGTTTTGCGCTCTTGTTGAGCTCACGTTGAAGTAGCACAATGAAAGCAACAGTGTGGAGGGAAACTGCAGTTGCACTCTTTCAAGCGACCGGCCAAACAAGCGTTTCCGCGAGTTGTTGGCGAAGCGTGTGAGGGTCGATGGACCGAACTAATAAAAGACGATCAAACTTCGCCATGAGCACCGTTCACCCGTCCCGACAAACACAAACTTTTAAAACGCCAAGGCAAAGAAAGGCCCTTGATCAAAGAAAACCGCAACAACCAGTGCTGCTTCTTATTCTAACTCTCTATTGTGGTGCAATTAGCAGCGAAAACATAGAAATTCGATTTCACAAGCAGCGCAGCGTAAGTGACAAAGCAGAGAAATCACACAACAGTAAATTTTTCGTACAACACCATTCGCCCAAAAACAGTCGCAGACATCAAGGAAAGAGGATAAGTGACGCTGCGATTTCCACATTTTTTGCGAAAATACCAGAAATCATTCCTTGCATTTTTTGCAGCAGAACCCTATGTGCACCAAAATCATGCGGGCGGTCGATGTTTCAGTCCTATTACTGTGTTTCTGTTAGTGAGACGCAGTTGCTCCAAATCCTTTGAATCGCCTACTTTGATTAGTACCCATC